GGATTCCAGGAGCACTGGTGACAGAAAAGGTCCCCAGTTTACCGTCCCCATGCTGTGCTCTGTTTTGCCTGTGACACCTCAGTTCAGTTAGTGCCTCTCTTTGCTCTTATTCCTTGTGGGTTGATGTGTGGAGTTGATGTCTCATGGTACCATAACTCAGAGCCCTGCTCCCAATTCACTCCCCTCCTCTGCAGCGATTTTCTCATTCTCCCTGGGTACATCGACTTCACTGCAGACCAGGTGGTGAGTATGACCAGGAATTGGGTTCTGAACATAAAGGTGCTGCTGTTGCCTGGTCTCTGGGCTACCTTACTAGATTGGGTTTTGGGGGTGGATTCTATGGAATTGTCAGCATGCAAGTCAGATCCCATTTTGCAGGGTGTCTGATACCGCCCTGTAGTGTAAGAGGTACTTGGCCACACTAGTGGTCCTTTGTCTCCTCAGGACCTGACCTCTGCCCTGACCAAGAAGATCACTCTGAAGACCCCACTGGTTTCCTCACCCATGGACACAGTTACAGAGGCTGGGATGGCCATTGCAATGGCGGTGAGCCTCATGGGGTTATGGGAGAAGGCAGGGACACCATCTCCCTAAGAAACATGCAATGGTGTCTCTCTGTTTATCCTGAAGCTTACTGGCGGCATTGGTTTCATCCACCACAACTGTACACCTGAATTCCAGGCTAATGAAGTTCGGAAAGTGAAGGTCAGAAGGGCAGGGACTGTGGTGAAGAACTCTGGGAATTGCACTGAGGTGCAGTGGGGTGGGAGTAGGAGGTTTGTTCTGCTAAATTAGGATCCTTTCTTCCCATTGTGGGGTTCAATTACTGAGGAGAAGAGCCTGATATCCAGTTTCTTAAGCCATCAGAAGAGCACCAGGTGCACAGTGTCTCCAGCCCACCCATGTTTCTTGTTAGAGTAATTGATTTGACTTGATCCTATAGCACTACCAAAAGGGTAGTTTAGGCATAAACCCTGTGCCTAAACCAACAGTTTGATAAAAAGTGATCAGATACAATGCCTTTTCTTACCATTCCCTCCAGAAATATGAGCAGGGATTCATCACAGACCCTGTGGTCCTCAGCCCCACGGATCGCGTCCGGGATGTTTTTGAGGCCAAGGCTCGGCATGGCTTTTGCGGTATACCCATTACGGATACAGGCCGGATGGGGAGTCGCTTGGTGGGCATCATCTCCTCAAGGGACATTGATTTTCTCAAGGAGGAGGAGCATGACCTGTTTTTGGAAGAAGTAAGTATCACCAGCAGAGCACAGCTAAACTTTGGCAGCCTACACTGAAGAAAGCAGGCCTGTTGCCCATATAACATTTCTCTTCTGTTTAGGAAACTGAACACCTAGTCACATTTCTGATTGCTTCATGAGGTTCTTGAATTTCATCTTCCCCTCTACCAGGGTCTCAAACTTCCAAATTTCCTGTCAGCATTCATGCTTTGCTCTTTGACACCCCCAGGTTGAGTTCAGTGCTCAAGGACCATCAATCAGCCTTTTTCTTCTGGTCCTCTTCATTACTCCTGTGCAATTTTCTACAGTGTAAGAGGCGGCTCTCTATACAGTGTAGTCCTTCCTTCTCAGTATTAGTATATTATGCTGGTATAAGTGTCCTTAAGGAAGTATAGTTTGGGATTAGGTATGTGAATGGTGGTCTTTGGAGCCTCCTCTTATAGTTAGGGCAGGGTCTGAGAGGTCTGGTCTCTCCTCATCACTTCTTCCCTTCAGATCATGACTAAGCGAGAAGACTTGGTGGTAGCTCCTGCAGGTATCACATTGAAGGAAGCAAATGAAATTCTACAGCGCAGCAAGAAGGGTGAGTCCCAGAGGTGGGAAGGGGCATAGACATAATTGATGCTCAGGTACCTGATTTATGTCTTACCCTGACTTCAGGAAAGTTACCCATTGTGAATGAAGATGATGAGCTGGTAGCCATCATTGCCCGGACAGACTTGAAGAAGAACCGGGATTACCCACTAGCCTCCAAAGATGCCAAGAAGCAGCTACTGTGTGGGGCAGCCATTGGCACTCATGAGGATGACAAGTATAGACTGGACTTGCTAGCCCAAGCTGGTGTGGACGTAGTGGTTTTGGTAAGCTAATACATAAAAGGATGGGACAGGACTAACGCCACATCACAGTCTTTACGTGGGACTTCCTTCTTGTCTCAGGACTCTTCCCAGGGAAATTCCATCTTCCAGATCAATATGATCAAGTATATCAAAGAGAAATATACCAATCTCCAAGTTATTGGAGGCAATGGTAAGCCAAGAACGGGCACTGACAAATGTGGAGTGGGATAGAGAGCTGGGCTGTCATCTGGACCCTCATATGAGACTTTCCCTCTCCTTTACTGTAGTTGTCACTGCAGCTCAGGCCAAGAACCTCATTGATGCAGGTGTGGATGCCCTGCGGGTGGGCATGGGAAGTGGCTCTATCTGCATCACCCAGGAAGGTAAGGATTTCTTTGGCACGGCCCAGAGACCTTGGCAATGGGTCTCACATGCCCTGGGATCAGGCACTCTTAATGGGAACTACAATGAGTCCTCTAATAGAGGCAACTCTGAGGCCAAATAGGCCTCTTGGATGGGTGACATGGCTGGAAGCAAGACGAATTCTTGTCATCCCTTCCCTGCCACTTCCCTGCCTAGCCTGGCCTCCTTGCTCCTGCTCTGCACCCTCTCTAAACTCTGGTCTGTTTGTTTTATTTAGCGGCTCCCAAGATCCCTCCAGACATAAAGTCCCACAGCCCCAAATGCCCTTCTACTGTCACGGGCTGCTATAGTAAGTCCGGCCTGGCCCACTGGCCGGCCCAGCTGCCCACTGCCCGGCTGCTTGGTTGATTGTAGCTGTAGCTCCCAGAGTTTGTGGTGCTAATGGGTGGGCAGGGTAAACAGATGTACAGACCATGGTTTGGGGGCTGCTTGAGATCACAGCTCCTTTTTCTTCCTGGGTGCTTACACAGCAGGACCTGCTTCCCTAGGCAGGCTATGCTTTGTCCACATCTTCTGTAGTAGTAGTTCAAGGATCAGCCCTGTAGCCTGCTCTCAGGTTACCTGATCTTGCCCCCGGTGTCCAGTATTCAGAGAGGAAATTCTGGGGTTGACATGGTGCCTCTGGGTACTAACTGCACGGTGACTCCTGTCCCATCTGCTACCAGCTGGGCGGGGCTTTCCCGGCTGCTAAAGACTGCATGTGCCTGAGGCTGCCCTGAATCCTGCGCGCGCGCGCGCACACACACACACAACACACACACACACACGCAGGGATGAAGCCAGCACAACTTATTGAACTGTTAAAGGCAGATGGGACAGCAGCCATCCCAGACATCAGTCCAGTTGCCATCCTGGTACAGATGTAGCTAAGCTCCTGGGTGCTAAGTGTGGCCTCTTACTTGTTCCCACTAACCCCCACCCACCCATCTGATCCTCAACAGTGTTGGCCTGTGGGCGGCCCCAAGCAACAGCCGTGTACAAGGTTTCTGAATATGCACGCCGCTTTGGTGTTCCTGTCATTGCTGATGGAGGAATCCAGAATGTGGGCCATATTGCCAAAGCCTTGGCCCTTGGGGCCTCCACAGGTGAGGCTCAGTGCCCCTAGAGCTTGGTGGGATCCCTTCTCACCAGATTCTGCCCTGAGCACTCCACATATGTCCATAGTCATGATGGGTTCCCTCCTGGCTGCTACCACTGAGGCCCCTGGTGAGTACTTCTTCTCCGATGGGATCCGGCTAAAGAAATATCGTGGTATGGGCTCTCTTGATGCCATGGACAAGCATCTCAGCAGCCAGAACCGATATTTCAGGTGAGACAGACCAATCATCCCAACTCTGACAACAATCTCATCCCTGCTGTGACTTCACCCATTTCTCTACCTCTTCCTATAGTGAAGCCGACAAAATCAAAGTGGCCCAAGGGGTATCAGGGGCTGTGCAGGACAAAGGGTCCATCCATAAATTTGTCCCCTACTTGATTGCCGGCATCCAGCACTCCTGCCAGGATATTGGTGCCAAGAGTTTGACTCAAGTCCGGTGAGTTTGGGTACCTGAGACATGGGCAGAAGGACTGTTTTAGTGAGTCAGCTACTGCCTACATCTGATCCCTGTCCCTCTTTAGAGCCATGATGTACTCTGGGGAACTTAAGTTTGAGAAGAGAACATCCTCAGCTCAGGTGGAAGGTGGCGTCCACAGTCTCCATTCGTAAGTAACCCCTATCCTTAGCTGAGAGCATCTTCCATGCCTCATACCTCTTTCCTCTTGTCCTAAACTCACAAGTGGTCTCTGCCTACAGGTATGAGAAGCGGCTTTTCTGAAAAGGGATCCAATGTGCCTCCTCAGTTTTTCAATAAAAGTTTGAAAAAGAGTAATGCCTGATCTTTGGGGTCACCAGGCACATGGGGGATCTGCAGGTACAAATAGCAACCTCATTTTGTTCCATGGATAAAAGTGCTCTATGATCCTTCAAAGAGGGTAGTTCCAGTTTAAAAACTTCTTCCGGGGGCTAAGGTTGTAACTCGGTGGTAGAGCACTTGCCTTGCGCATGTGAGGCACTGGGTTCCTAAAAACAAATGTATTGTGTATATCTGACTTAAATACATAAATTTCATAGGGGGATGTTCTCAAATCAGTTCTGGCTTCTTAGGGTTTATTTCACATTGAGAATCTTAACTCTGCTCTTGAGGGAGTTGGGGGTGTCACATTATAGTCTGGAACGGGTGTGTAGAAAGCCTCCTGCTAGCCTAAAGCTTGGCTGCATGGGACTACTTCAAGACTTGGACGTGTACTCCCTAATATGAATCTTTAAAAGGATCCTGGAGAAACTCATATAAATGACCATAAGATCTGAAACAAAACATCTGCCTCCTGGCCTCTGAAGTGAAGAACAGGAAATCAGGAATAGTCTAGATAAAATAGTGACCCTTTGCTTTCTCCTCACCTCCACCAGTGGCCCACTGACCCAGCAACCCCTGGCCAGCAACACACCTGATACAAAATGGGAGAATTGTATAAATTATATTCCTGTCAAGCATGAAAAGTGTTTAGCGCCAATGGAGAGGACAGTGAAAACAATGGGAACATCTGCACTTTTTTATAAAAGTGTCCCTCCTGAACAGCTGATAACTTCCTGTTCATTCTGCATCTTGGCTCATATATGTGAGTGAAGTCTCTCCAGGTGGGGGGATGAGTACAGCTCCTGTCATTCGGCCTTCATGACACAGGAAGTTGAAGGTGGCACAGGCACTGGGCTGCAAAGATAAGTCGTTAGTTTCCTTGGGGTTAGGCCTGAGCTCCCACAGCATTTCCAAGACTTACTGTGTCTTGCACTTCCAGAGCGATGCCCCGCTGCCTAATGGCTTGCAGCACCTTAGAGTGTAGCCGCTCAGTCCTGTTTCCAGTGCCCACCACAACAATCTCTAGGGAAGTGAGAGATGGCTATTTTACAATCAGGTCTGTTGAGAGGATAGGTTATCCTTTCTGGGCTCAGAGCACCTCAGTCTTCCCCTATCCTTCATACCTATCCTGGGCTCCAGCAACCAGAAGAGGGAGAAGCTTTCTTCTGTGATGTTCTGGTGGGATCCCACCTGTATGGGTGGGGGCCAATTCAATACGACAATCAAATCTACCCGAGTTACCTTCTAGCCGCCGCCCTCCAAACTCTGACTACCGGACAACAAGGAAAAGCCAAATTTGCCAGGGACACAAGCAGGGAGAAGGACTGTAATTTGGCCTGTTTGCCCACTGCGGGGGGAAGGGCTCACATTCCACTGTACCACCGAGTGCGGGAGCAGCGCACAAGGACCGAGCACTCGATTTCCGTTGATAGTGAAGCCTCGGCTGTTGTAACTGTCAATGTACATGATGTGCGGGAACTCGCGTTGCAGCAGAGAAATGTGAGTCCGCTGATACAATTCATCATCAGCTAGCGACAGTCGGTGACCACGCTGTGGAAACCTGCGGAAGGGGCAAGGTTGGGCGCATAACCGGGGCTGTGCGGTTCTTGGAGCTGGGGGGCAGAAGGTCGGGGGGGGGGTCCGGACTTACCACTGCAGCGCAACATGTAGGAAGCGCGGCACGGGTCGCGCTCTGTAGAGGTAGCGGAGCGAGAAAGCGGTGGCCATGGCTGCTCTGAGCGTAGCGAGTCCTCCGCAGAAATAGTGAGAAAGTAGCGGAGCCTGACCTAGTGCAGCTACAGCGCCCCATGCGTACGGGAGGGGACTGCGCAATTAGGCCGGCCCAGCAGGCAATTTTAACTCTCAAGAGCTCGCGTTCCAGGCGCCGCTCGGGTGACGGCACCTGCCGCCAGCCTCTCCCCGTTTCTCCGCCCATCGTCCCTAGGGAGTGGACACCTGGTCCCATTGCCGACCTCCGGGCATTGCCTGGGCCGCAGTCTCGGCCTGGCCCCGAGGCTCTCAGGTATTCTGCAGGGCTCCCGGGACCAGGGGCGGAGCGACCAAGCACCTGGTCCTCTACTGCACACCTGGCCAGGGTGTGGTGCCAACCTCCAAGCACCTAATCCCAGGCTTTTCGGTGTCGGGCTTCGTGGGCGGGACGGGTGGCTAAGGTTTCCCTAGCTAGTTTCGGAATCACGGCCCTCACCAACCGTCATTCGCGCGACCGTTGGCTGCACTGCCGCGCGCTGCAGAAGGCGTGGCCGCGCGTGGATTGGCTTCTCGGGAGCGCGAGGGGGCGTGGCCAGGTGGTTTCGCCTTAAAATGGCTTCAAGCCTGAGGACAGCCAGAGCCAGCGGAAGGGCACACCACGGCACGACTAATGTAGCTGTTCAGGTGGGACTAACTGGGCCGAACCGGACCAGACGTGAACTACACAGCACCTGGAACATCATCCCGTCCTCCTTCACTCTGCTCGCGCGTTCCGGGTTTCCCTGCCCCCTGTTCTCAGCCAAGTAAAGGGCCTACTGGCGCAAGACTCACGAACGCCCGCGCGGGGTTCGGACATCTCCGCGCGTTGGCTCTGTGGTGGCCTCAGCGAGACATTGTCGCGTTTGCTACCCGCGGGGTCGGGTGGGCAGGAGGTTCAGCGCAGTCTGGCCTGGGGTTGGATTTGCCAGGGCCAGTCCCAACGGCCTTCCAGTTGTCCTGTGACTACTGTGTGGGCCCATTCGGCCCCTGGCTGTCTCGACGCTGGCAGCGTCAGCGGACAAAGGCCCCCGAGCGCGGGGGTGTCCCCGAAGTGGGCGCGCGGGTTGACTTCCTCTCCGGCCCCCACGGGCGCGCTTTCCTCTTGGCAGATTCCGAAGCTCGCCCCACCACCGTCACCGCACCAGTGGCTCCAGCTTCGTGGGACCCACAGGGCTAATCCTGCCCTGCGGATCTAATCCGGATCGGGACCTGGTCCCAGGGGAGGTGCCCACCTTCCCTCCTATTGTTCTGGGGCCCAGGTGAGCGCCTCATTCTCACTAGACTCGATTACACCACCTACTTCTGCCTAGTCCACACCCTGGGACTGGGGATGGGTGTGGGTTTTGAGCTGATCCCCGTGGGAGTGACCTGGGGGCAGGAGCCCCCCTCCAACGGCTGGACAGCGGGCAACGGAATCCCAAAAGCAGCTGTTGTCTCCAGAGCATTCCAGCTGCGCTTGGATTTCGTTCCCTGCTCTTCTGCCTGAGCAGCGCCCTAGCCCAGATGGAGTGGCCCCTGACCCCCAGGCACACTGACTGTACTGGGCCACTCTGGTCTCCGTCCCTCTCTCAGGTGCGCCCTCAGGCTGCAGATGGCAAGAGTAGACATGGAAGAGCTGGGGCTGGTGTCCCTCACTGGAACTCCATGAGAGCTTTGGTGAGGGAGGACCTGGGTCCATCGGGTAGGGCTGCAATGGCGGTGAGTCCTACAGGACGCCCCAGCCCACGGCTTGCTAAAGATAGCCCTTCACTTCCTGGGGAAAAACCACCCCAACCGTCTTCTTGGACTGAGAGTAGCTGAGGTCCCCAGCTTGCCGGTGGGCCCCTGCTAGCAGCTGTCTCCAGGTCTTTCGCCTGTGGCATGGAAAGTGCTTTGGAATGACACGATCACTCCCGTTGAGTGGGCACCCAAGAAGCCATCGGGAATGTCGTGTCCGCCCAGTGCTCTTTCGGAGCCTTCCAACAGGGCCTCATAACCCCAGACCAGAAAGGGACCTTGCTAACCTTTCCCTCTCCTTAGAATTCCCTCTTTGTCCAACCTCTGGGCACGTCCCCTATTCCAGAGATCATGAGTTAGGTTCAATCGCTATTAGAAGGGCAGCACAGGCTTAAGTTACATTAAAATGAAACCATTTGGAATCCTTTTGGTATACAGAAAAAGAGCTTTCCTGCTCGTATAAAAGCAGGATACTCCTATGACTTGTTTAGTTGAGTCTTCTCATGGTCACATTGTTTATTTATGTATTATTTTAATGCTTACTCTTAGTATTAAAGGTTCGCTAGTGAAGTACACACACCAGGTTAAAGGAACTGGTAATTCTGGAAACCATGATGGTTTTTTTTTTTTTTTTTTTTTTTTTTTTTTTTTTTGTAGAGAGGATATTGGGGACTGAATTCAGGGGCACTTGTCCACTGAACCACATCCCCAGCGCTATTTCATATTTTATTTAGAGACAGGGTCTCACTGAGTTGCTTAGGGCCTCGCCATTGCCAAGGCTGGCTTTGAACTCCTGATTCTCCTGTCTCAGCCTCCCGAGCCGCTGGTATTACAGGCGTGTGAATCTGAGCATGGTCCATGATGGTTCTAATTCCTCAGGTGTCAAGAGAAGGAAACAGGCAATTCTATCAGATTGGGCATTTATTGAGAGTAAAGACTACTTGAATCTCAAGAGAAGGCTTGCCAATAACCTGAAACCATAGAACACAGTTCTTTTAAAAATAAGGTTTTTAAAAGTAGGTCTTGAAAGTGTTTAATGTTACAGCCGCATTCCAATGACAACTCGTTTGGTACTTCTGACATTTTCATCACGTTTAAAATGGGGAAAATGAAACATTATTTAAAATGAACACGAACACACATTTGAGACTGATGACAAGATTTCTTGTTTGCGCCCCCATCCCTCACAAGAATTCTTTTACTGATTGCTAATGTAGAGCAACAATAAAGAACCCTAGGCACTCTCGGGGCCCAGAAGTGCAGGAGGGCCACACGGAGGGAACACTGGGTAGGTAGGTCGAATGTGGCTGACTCGGCTCACTTGAGAGCGCACCTGTCCACTTAACCAGACCTCCACCAGATCCTCCCGGAGCGGTTCGGGACTCACCCGGAAGTTCCACCTCCGAATATTTTACTTCCGGTCGCCATGGCGACTGGGCGACTTGGGGTCGGGGAGACGCTGGGGGCCCTTAACGCTGCCTTAGGACCTGGGGGTCCGGTGTGGTTTAAGGAGACCCGTGCCCGGCACCTGCGTGTCCGAGACTTCCTGGCACCGAGACAAGCTCTACGGGCGCGCTTCGGGGACGAGCAGGTGTGCGGGAGCCCGGCGGGGATGGAAGGTCGAGGGTTTCAGGGAAGTTGCGGCCTGCTCACACGCCTGTCTGCTCGTAGGTGCCGGAGCATGTGTTCCATGCGGTCGCTAGTCTGCAGGGTCCCGGTGTGGCCCCGGTGCTGCGCTGCGCGCCGACACCAGCGGGTTTGGCGCTCCAGTTGCAGCGACCTGCAGTCTTTCAGCGTGTCCTCGGCTCAGTTGCCTCCTATGCCACGCCCACCAGACCTGCCTCGCCCGGACCGCGAGTAGTTCTGCACTGTCCGGCTTTGCGCTGCAGCCCTGATGCACTCCGCCTGAGCCAGCTGCGTGCAGTACTTGTGGCGGATCACCTGGCGCGAACTCTGCGTACTCAAGGGTAAGTGCAGACTTGAGGCTAGAATGGAGAAAGGCGGGATCTTTGGGGATAGCCTCGGAGAGTGGGAAGCGATCTGGGACTCGGTGCCCAGGCTCACGTGACCACCCTCGCTTTGCAGGATGTGTGTGCACCTAGTGCCCGCTGTGCGGGACCCGCACATGCCAACTTTCCTGCAGAAACTGAGGGTTGACTGGCCCACTGCCTCGGCAAGAGCGTCTACTGAAACCCTGAAGAGCCGTGTGCTAGCAGAGCTAACCTCTCTGCATGATGGGGAGACACTGCCCCCTGGCGTCTTGGGAAGACTATGCCTGAAGGATCTGTTGGAAGAACAGGGCCACAGGGCTGGCTATGACCCCAGTGTGGACAACTGTCTTGGTAGGACCTGGAGCCTAGCAGAATCAGAAAGGAGGAAGTATCTCTGTCAGTCTCAGTACCGGTTTTATTGTTCTGTTTGCAGTGACTGAGGACCTACTCTCTGTGCTGGCTGAGCTGCAGGAAGCTGTGCAGCACTGGCCAGAAGACAACTACCAAAGCCTGGTTAGTAACTTCCAGTTCCATAAGCCTCTGGCAAACCAAATATCCTGCATTTTTGCAGTAACTGTCGTTTTTCTTTATAAGACGGTGGCTCCAGATGCTGGTGTAGACAGCTGCATAGTTGTACATGTGGTGAGCTGTGAGGAGGAGTTCCAACAACAAAAGTTGGACCTACTTTGGTGGAAGTTGGATGACCAGGCTCCACTCAGACAGGTAGGTTAGTGATAATAGACTCCCCCAAACTGAAAGAGGCTCATTAGTTGGTAGATCAAGAAACTGAGACTTGAGCTTGAGTTTGCGGGAGACTAAATGAACAGGCATATGCAACAGTTGCAGAAGCCCTGGAGAAGGTAAAATCTGAAGGCACATCCTAGGAACATTGAATAAAAAAATAAATTGCACCATGTCTTGAGGAACTGGGCTTGAAAAGGAGGCACTGTGCTTGGTGAATACAGGTTGGAGGGAGGATGGAGTAGAGGCACCAGATTTGGGTTCCTTAATGAACTAATGGCTGGAATGCAGTGACAATTGGGCTGAACCCCTGATGTTTTCTACAGAAGCACCTGGTCTGTGGCCCAGTAAAAGTAGCTGGTGCACCTGGAACTTTGATGACTGCCTCTGAATACTATGAGTAAGTGAAGCTGGAAGGAAGGCCAACCCAAGGCAGGGAGATTGAGATTGGGAGGTAGAGATTTTTATTAGGACCGTGCCTATTGGCTCTCTTCTTTCAACATGCAGGTCCCGACATACCCAGGTGTGCAAGGCCTCAGCTCTGAAGCACGGTGGTAGTCTGGCACAAGGTGCACCCGGGAAATCCTAGCTGTGCCCTGGAGTAAGGCCAGGTCATTTGTACCCATTCCATTTGCAAAGACTAAATATTAACTTATATTCCCCCAGACCCAGCCTGGATAGAGATCTTTGGGGTTCTCTCTGTGGCTACCATCAAGTTTGAGATGCTAAGCACAGCCCCACAGAGTCAGGTGAGTCTGGACACCTCATAGGACTAAGGCTTGATGTCTAGTCTCTGAAACTGTGTCTTCATTCTCTAGCTCCATCTGGCCCTAACTGACAGTAGCATCTCCACAAAGGGCACAAAGAGTGGCACCTTTGTCATGTATAATTGTGCCCGTCTTGCCACACTCTTTGAGGGTTACAAACGCTGTATGGAACAAGGTCTGTACCCCACTTTCCCACCTGTGAGCAGTCTGGACTTCTCGCTGCTACAAGATGAGGTGAGTGCCCTTCTTGAGTATCTGACACAAGCAGTACCCTTGGACTTTGCCTCCCAGCACCCTTGTACCCCACAGGGCGAGTGGTTGCTGCTCTTCAACAGTGTCCTTCCCTTCTCGGATCTGTTGAGTCAGACTGCAGTCCTGACCTGTATATCCCCGGGGCTCCGTGTCACTGCTCACACAGAGATGGTGAGGCACAGAAGACCAGACCAGACATGTAACACTCTATTCTTTATTCTAAGATGGGGCACAAAAAGACATGGGCCAGTAATTATCTCTGTCTCTAGGTATGCAAATTCCTGATACAGCTCAGCATGGATTTCAGCTCATACTATAACCGGATACATGTCCTAGGGGTGAGTACACAGCAAAAGGGAATACGTGGGAAGGGCAGAGGAGTTCAAAGTAAAGGCAAGGGAAGCAAAAAATGAGACCAGCAGGTCCCTTCTCCTCCAGGAGCCTCGGCCACACCTCTTTGGTCAGATGTTTGCCCGCTTGCAGCTTCTGAAAGCCGTGCGTGAGATACTCCATACTGGCCTGGCTATGCTGGGCATCCCTCCATTGAACCACATCTAAAGCCACAGAGGGCCAAGTATATGGGAATGTTTGTAAAATTATCAACTGGAAGAAAAATGCCAAACTCTACAGACTTCAGGAGCTTAAAGCCAAAATAAATTTCTTCTGTTACAAGGTTATGTCTACAATGGGGAGTTGGGCATATTCTTGGTCCACCTAGGCAGTACTCTACTCACCTCTAGCTCCTGCTGTGGAGTCAGGAACCCACAGCCTCCACCTCCTCCCCTCCTCAAGGCACACTGGGCATGAGCACAGACAGTTGACTCCTGTTCCACTATCTGTGAGCAGACCCCTTGCCCAGCACACCAGCCACGGTGGGACATCTCAGTCATACCAGTTGTAAACCTCAAGCCCCTGGCCCCCAAGAGCACAGCGATGGCCAAATTCGGGGCTCACGGGCCAGCAATCCATATCAGCCACATCTGGCACATGGTATACAGTGCTGTTCATGAAAATGGGCTCACCATGCCCCAGACGCCAGAAAGTTAGCCGTTGGTCAATGGAGGCTGAGACCATGAGGCTTGTGCTTAGGATCTTGAGGCCTGTCACATGGGCAGCATGTGCACAGGGGACAGAGTATTCTTCAAGCACACGCAGCTGGGGCACCAGCTCAGCCTCCCCCACAGCATCTTCCAGCTCTGGTATCTCCACAGCAAGCTTGAAAAGATGCAAGGAGCCATCCTCACTGCCACTGGCCACAAGATGGTGGCCCTCACATGTTGGTAGGGTGTGCAGACTGTTGACACCACAGCTATGAGCCTGGAGGGTCAGGCAGGGAGTACCCAGCTCTGAAATAAAAGGTTGGATTTTAGGGCCCTGCCTGCCTTGTATGTAAGGGCAAAGTGAGAGGTGGGAAGGGACAGTCATGGCTACACATTAACTACTACTCACGGTAAGGAAGCCCAGGGTGTCCTGCAGGTTCCAGGACCGTGGAACCACGGTCCAACACCGTGGTGAGATCCCAGAAGGCTAGGCTGCCATCAGTAGCTGCACTGCAAAGAAGTAGCCTCCTAGGAGCCAGGAAAGGGCAGCCAGGTCAGTGAGGAATGGAGAGAGAAGCAGGAACTCCCCACCTAACCCATGCAGGACTGTCATTCAGCCCCTTACCGCCGCTGGTTGGGTGCCTCATGGGTAAATGAGTAGACTTTGAGGACACACCGCTTATGGTGGAAAGTTTCGGCAAGGAGCTGTAGAATTCGCCCAGAGTCCTGCAAAAGAAAGAGCCTGGGGGCCAGGAGGTGGCCCAGCTCAGAAGCTATATCGGACAA